TCCCTCTGTGCCCTACAGTCCCAGAAACTCTTGAGATGTTTAAAGTCATTTAATCCAAACTCGCAGTCGTGCCTGAACGCATCTCCGTAGGACTGAAACGCCCTGGCAGAGGTCTTCTGTGCCGCGGTTGTTTCTGTTGTGTCGTTTTGGTTTTTGGGTCAGTGTGGTTGCTGGTGTGACCTTTTCATTACACAAAGACAAATCCCATCAGCCCCTTTAAAGCAGCCCATGTTATCGATGATGGGTCATCTAAACTTTTCAGAAAATGGGTTGAGGTCATGTAACAATTTCAGGATACTGCTGCCTTGTCGTTACTGCCCAATAATGTTGACCTACAGATGGAACAGTTTTGTCATTTGATATAAGCTAATTAGCTTTGACCTTTGAAAGCACAGGCTTTGTCATCGCTCATCTCCTGAACTTCTGGATAGTTGCCCCATCCCGAACCGCTAAACTGTCTTTACTTTAGCAACAGTTACAGCAGTGTAAAGGACAGTTATATTATTCAGCTGTTTGTTTCTAGGGAAGCATCTGTATTTCCCAACTGCTTGGCAGCGGTTGTGGTTGGTTGCAAATGCTGACTAACTACTAGCTGACTACTAGCTAAAGTTGAAAACCTGAAACGGAGAAGTGTCACCTTCAATGTAAGAGCTGCATGCAGAAATATGTTGGCTGCAGCCCTGCTGCACAGCTTTGAAGGTGAACCTTCTGTTTCTGGTTTGTTTTGCACTTTTCATAGTTTCACTGCAGCTCAGAGAGAAGCTGCACAGTGTTTGTAGACAAGTGCGTCACATTTAGACTACCACAGCAATATGCTCGCAACCAAAGCAGGTTTGCACAATCAGTTTGGGAATACACATTTTCCCTAGTGACAGGTGGTTGTCAGGGGTTACCGACCAGTCTGTACTCCTTTGGCAGTCGTTTTCCCTTCACCTGGCTTCAGCCTGCAGCGACCACTTGTTACTACTCAGGGAATAATGATTTTTCCCTTATGAGCAGTAGTCCCCAAATGGCAATGGGAATTTTATTTATGTAACACATTTCTTCAAAGGAAGTTAACACAGCAAAATAAAACGTATTTACTTAATAAAACACCACACAAACACTGATGATTGTAGGTGTGTGTGAACAACAAAGGTTTTGAGTCTGTCGTTGAATGTTAGCACAAATGGAACTGATTTCAGGTCAGCAGGCAGCTTTTTCCAAAGAACAGGAGCGCAGTAACTAAAAGGAGCCTCAGCATGCGGATCGTAGGAGCATTTAAAAGACGTGAACCTGCTGACCTATAAACAGTGAGCAAGTCAGAGATGTACTGATAACAGCTTTATTTAATGACCCTACTGTATGTGACCACATGGGTAGTGGTCTGTATGTTGGCACATGAAAACTTGTAATTGTACACACACACATATATATATATATAGATAGATACATATTCACTCATATATGTATAGTAAAGAAATCTTTTGTTTATTCTCTCTGTTGATGGTGTAACACGCCACACTGATGGTATTTTGCCCCACAGCTGACCTGAAGTCACTTGTTGGTTGAGGCCTTTGGGTCAAATGCAGTCAGTGTGTGTCTGCGACTGTGTATCAGACACACACAGGATCCACATATTTCATGTATGTCAACTTGTGTCAACATCAGAAGCTAGCAGACCTTAAAATGTTGCACACACACTCTCACGCGTGCACACTCAGCCTCACTGCAGTCTTATCCTGCACCGAACACACACTTACAAGTTTAAAAGCACACGCAGAGATTGGGGGGAAACCCACTCGGTGTTGGACACTGGGGAGTCAGAGGAAGAGATATTCACCATTACTGGTTTATTAATGAGATGGAGAGGAGATGTAGAGCGAGAAAACAAGCAGGAATGCGGGGAAAAGTCGAGGAGGGAGGACTCCGACAGATGAGACAAATCTGAGATGAAGAGCAGCTACCGAGGCAGCAAAGGAGGATGAGGTGGAGTGCATATGTATTATTAAATACCCAGAGTGTTAGATTATTTACAACAGCTGGAGAAGGAGGAGGGGGAGGTCGATACTGGCTCACCCACGCACTGGTAGGGACGCTCGCTCGCACTCTCAAGACGAGCCGGCGGCACAATCTGAGGTGGTTTGTGTAATTGAATGTCAGAAGCTATTAGAAGGAGGAAGGGTGGGAGAGTGTGTGAGAGACATAAAGAGGACAAACCAGTCAGTTTTTATTAAAGTTGGCATGTGAGTTTCAGGCAGGACAAACAAATTAAGGAGCATGTGAACAAATACACGTTTAGTGTCTTATAAGTGTAGAAATCGATTTCAGGGTTGAGGCACCAAAGTGGGATTATCACGTACGCCGTCATCAAGATTAAGTTTGCATCACAGACTCACAGACTCACACTTTCTGCCAGTGTTTTTGTTTACCTCCATTGTCTCGCCCTAGTACTGTTGATTGTGTCGTTGAATATATTAGAACTGTGGGAGGCAGCGCGATAACAGCAGAGCGCTGACCTGGGAAAACACACTCCTCCCACATCTACATACTGTACAGACACACACTCCAGTGTGCACACTTTGGGAAAATGCACACCATACACAGATGCCATATACGCACATATGAATACACACAGACTTACACAAAACCCTGGCCCAAAAATAACAAGCGTGTCCCACATTGAGAGTTCACTGCAAATGGAGAAAAGCCAAGCAGCTTCCTCTCACGTGTTAGACTCTGTCGGGAGCTCTGTCACACTTATTTTCCAACTTTTCTTTCTGTCTTTCTTCACCGCTCTCATGACAGCCTGTTTGGAAGAGTTGGGCCAAATGAGACTGCGCTGTTAAAGCATGTTGGATCCCATTTGGTCAATAATGTGATAATCTTTGAGAAGGAAGTTCAAATCTCCTAACTCCCTTTTTATACTTTATTTTAAGACTTTTATGGATTTTCTGGTTGGTTGTCTGGTTGATTAATCTGTCTTCTTGTTTGAATGACTGGGCAGTTGTTTGATTGGTCTGGTTGGTCTCTTTGGTTAGTTTGTTTTTTGGTTATTTGATTGGTTGTCTGGTTGATTATTCTTTCTTCTTGTTTGTTGGCTGGTCACTTGGTTGGTTTGTTATGTTTGACTGATCATAATAATCATTCTGTGTGTTTGTGCGGTTGGTTATTCTGGATTGTCAGTCTGTTTTTATGTCAAAGTAAACGACTGACACGTCCCATTTTCATGTTAAACATCCGCTATTCTTTTCCAAAGTTGCATAATCTGTTTACAGATTATCAGTACAGTCTAAATGTGTGCAAGAGCTGATCAGTTATATCAAAAAACACAGTTGAACAACAGATATTGGTGTCACGGTCCTGGGTCGGTGACCCAGTGCTTTGATTTTTGTATTATTATTATGAATCTTTGCTTTCATCTTGCTTTATGACTGCTGGTGTTTTGGTTGCTGTTTGTAATTGTAGCTCTCCAGTTCCTCTGGGTTTGTGATTTCTAGGTCTCAGTTTTAGGCTACGTCCACATGTACACGGGTATTTTTGAAAACTGGAAAAGCCCGTCCAAACGTGCAGTTTTGAACAAATATCTCAGTCCACATGTAAACGCTAAAAATGAAATGTTGGCCAATCAGAAGTCTAGAAGCCTGGGAAAGAGTACACAGGGTTTTGTACACTCACAAAACTTTAAGTACTTCTGAAAAGTTTTTGTTTTTCTGGAAAGGCAGATAATTTTGTGTTACTTTTCAAGTGCCTTCATCATTTCAGATGTTATTAACTAAAGACAGTATTTTGGTTGGTGTAGACTCACAACTTAGGAATGAACAAAATGCATACATTCAATTTAAGAAAGTACATTTATTCAAGACCAACGTCAGCATTTAATGTAGAAGCCACGTCCGAAGTTCACTCTGAATCCTCTGTCTTTCTAAATAGAGGGACAGTAACTGTGCATGTGTATGTAAGTGTGGAAAAACTGCATATAGACAGTATTTTATCTCTATCTGCCACTGCAGTAATTTATCTCATGTAAACAAACCGGCAACCTTCCAATCACAAGACGAACTCCCAACTCTTTGCCTTCCGTCGTCTCATTATGTCTGATTTGTGCCAGCTGTCTTACTTCCTGTTCCTTCCTGGCATTAATTTATTCTTAAGAGGCTTTAAGGTTGTTCATACTGTGTGATAACTTAGTTCTTCATTAAGTCCTATATCATAACTATGTGCAATAGAGAAGCAAAAACAGAACTTTTCATAAGATGATATAGCGTTACTCTCTGTTACTGTTACTTTCTGTTACTGTTACTTTCTGTTACTGTTACTAACTGTAATAGACTTACACATTTTTTTAATTACATTGACTCCCATATATCTGGGTTTTTCTTGTTTCACTCGACACAAAGACGTCTGGCTTTCTTCATTATACAGGACAGGATCTGCAGTATATGTAGCGTTTCTTCGTGACATGCCCTGACTTCCTGTCTGTTCTCTCCTCTTTCATATTCAGCTCGTCTCTCCTTCTGTCACTCCGTCTTTCCCTCGTGGCTTCTCTGACCACGGTTGCTGCTCGTTAGCACCATTTAAAAACTTCTTTCTGGCTCATTGGGCTCTTGGCTCATTCCAGCCGCACTGACATTAAGCAGCGTGATGAGTGACTGTGCCCCGCGGAAGACATGACACCTCCGTTTCCATCAGCAATCACAGCTGAACATCAACCCATTTTTTTTCCTTAGCTTTCCTTCTTTCTTCCTTGTCTGCCAGGACGTGGCTGTGATGTTAGCTGTGTTTCCCAAAGGGGGATTTAAATAAAGAGCCACAGCATATTGGCTGATGTTAGAAGATATTCTGCAGACTACAGGTGAGCTGTTAGCTGTGTGGCTTTGGAGATGTAAACTCATTTCGAGGATGTCATGTATTTAAACATTAGTAGAAATCGAATGAACGTTTCGAGTGAAAATCGCATAACAATTTACCTCTTTCTCTCTCTCTCTCTCTCTCTCTCCTTGTCTCAATGTCTTCTTCAGGTATAGACCAGCATGCCGTTGGTGAAGAGGAACATTGAGCCCCGGCACTTGTGCCGTGGAGCGCTGCCAGATGGGGTGACTAGTGAGCTGGAGTGCGTCACCAACACTACACTGGCAGCCATCATCAAGCAGCTGGGCAGTCTAAGTAAGTTTACTGTAGTTCAGCACAAGAACATCCTGTAACATTCA